TCAGCGCGGTGTCCGTGAACCCCATTCCACCTCGCGCGGTGTCCGTGAACCCCATTCCCACCCTCCGCGCGGTGTTCCGTGAACCCATTCCACCTCGCGGCGGTGGCCGTAAACCCATCCCACCTCGCGGCGGTGTCCGTGAACCCCATTCCCACCCTCGGGCGGTGTCGTGAACCCCAGTCCCACCTCGCGGCGTGTTCCGGAACCCCAAGTCCCACACTCCGCGGCGGTGTCCGTGAACCCCAGTCCCACCTCGCGGCGGTGTCCGTGAACCCCAGTCCCACCTCGCGGCGGTGTCCGTGAACCCCAGTCCCACCTCGCAGTGGTGTTTGTAAACTCTAGCGAGTGCTCAGTGCATGCGGGGGCCTTTCTCACGCAGCAGCCCCTTGGGGTTGAGTGTCGGGCGAGGAGCAGACCCCAAGAGAGGCGTGAAGTCCCAGGCGCTCGGCTCCAGCGCGGTGGCCCCAGACGTCTCAAGGGCTTCAAGATGTTTCCCTCCAGGTTCTTGGCTAAGGGCCCAGTCGAGGATGAGCTTGGGGGTGTCACTGGGGAACCACTGTGGGGAAGCAAGTCACTAATGTCCATTGGTCTTGCTTGGCTTGGGTGGGAGACAGAGAGAAGTGGACAGGTGTCCACAAATTCCACCTCCCAGGGTGCTCGCGTCCCCTAGCCCAGGTGCAGGGTTGTGGGCTGGCCATGTTGATGTGGCTTTGTCCTGGGCACCGGATGTCCCGATCTCCCCAAGACAGCTCCCAGGCCCTCCCTCCCCTGGCCACGTCTTCTGGGACAGGGGTGGGGTGGGAAGACAAAGAGCCAGCTTTGAGAACTGGAGAGCCGGAAGTGGGCCGCAGCCTGCCTGCCCACCCACACCCACACCGGCTGTGATCTGGGCAAGTGGGCTCTGCCAAGGCACTGCGGCCGCTGTGACCTGGTGAACTCAGGCTGTGGACAGGCCTGGGCCCAGGACTCCCAGCCTCTGCCTTGACCGCACCCGGCCCAGTGTGACTGGAAGGTCTCCAGTGGAGGCAGCTGGAGGGTGGGGGAACAGGGCCGGCCCAGGTTTGGTGGCAGCTGGGCAGGGAGCAGATGGAAACTTCTGCCCTGGTGGGGGTGGCCGCTTCCCCTCAGCTATGTGGGGTTCTTATAGCCTGGGGTCTCCCTGCCTCATGCCCAGGCCTAGCCCAAGGCAGGCGTGGCTCTGTGGCTGGGTTTCCTTCAGAGCATGTGGTTCAGAGCCTGGCTTGGGTCTCAGACCCCATGTGGCTCCTGGCTCTGTGTGGCTTCGGGCAGACGCCTCAGGCTCTGCCCAGAGCTGGGAGATGAGGGGACCACCACAGGCTCCCGGGGGTTGGGAGGACCAAGGGAGAGGGGGAGAGGCAAGGCCCAGCGCAAAGCTGCACAGCCAGGGCCGGAAACAGACCCTGTGCCCACCGAGGCTGATAAAGGCCCCATGCTGGGCAGGCAGGTTTCCACTTGGCAGGACCTGCCCTGCCCTGGAAGTGGCTTGTGCTCTGTGGGCACTGGCAGGCTCTGAGGCCAGGGCCGCCATCTGTCAGCTGGCAGAGAGCTTCCCCGGCAGGGTCCCCAGCCTGGGAGCCTGAGGAGCCCCCACCCGTCCTCTCCCTGCTTCCTGCCCAAGTGTTTGCTACTCTCTGGACTCCCAGGAGACCATGGAGGGGCCCAGGTCCTGCTGGCCGAGGGCCAAGAACCCCGTGGAAGTCGGCCTTGGTTTGGACGCTGCTGCCACTGCCTGTGGGGACCTCTGTGTACTGGGCCAGCCTTGGGGACAGGACACAGTCAGAGGGAGAGGTCCCAATGCCTCATCGCAGGGTGGGCAGATGGGCAGCCTGGGCCTTGCTCGTCCACACGGGGTAAGCTGCCAGTGGCGGAGGACAGAGGCCAAGCCTAATGGAGGTTCAGCCTAACAGGCTTCCTGGCCATGCCGACATCTCCTTCCCGGCCCCTGCCCACTCGGACGTACCAGCCCCTAGCCGCTGCCTCCTCTCAAGGCCACCTGCCCCCACGTCCCAGCCCCTGCCTAGACTGAACTCTCGGCAAAGCCAGCAGGAGCGGGCGGCACTGGAGGGTGAGGCATTGGCGCGGGGCTGAGGAGAGCAGGCAGCCTCAGAGCCAGCAGTGGCGTGGTGGCCAGAGTAGCCGTGGAGGTCTGTGGTTCTGTGGGGGAGGGGTGGCCTGGCTTGCCCAGCTCTGACACCCCCAGTTCTCAGTGCTCCATTTCCAGGGGGGAGCTGGGTGAGGCCTCCCGTGCAGGGTCCCACTTACCAGGGCTGACTCAGCGCTCCCTCCACTTGCACAATGTGGGGAGCTGTTCTAGGTGTTGGCGTGGCGTGACCAGCACACCCCTGTGGTAGGCACAGGACCTGGTGCCAGCTGGGGAGTCCCATGAGCCTCCCTAGACCCCAGCCCACCTGCTGTCCAGAGGAAGGAGCTCAGGAGCAGGCCGTGAAGACGGTGGTGTTGAGATGGGGAAGGAGCTCAGGAGCAGGCCGTGAAGACGGTGGTGTTGAGATGGGGAAGGAGCTCAGGAGCAGGCTGTGAAGACGGTGGTGTTGAGATGGGGGCCCTGTCTGAAAGGGGAGCTGAGGAGTTTGTGTGTGGTGGGTGGTGTTTGGGGCCTGCTCTGCCTCCAGACTCCCCATCGCCTGCCCAGGACCCCCCGCACCTCCCAGCCATCCCCCTGCCCCCATGGCAACCCAGCAGCCTGAGGGCTTGTCCTGGATAGGGGTGCCCCAGAGAGCACAGCATGGGGCAGGGGGTCTCTGTCCCCCTCCCCAGCCGGGTGGTGCAGGAGGCTGCCCTGTCTCTGCATTAGGGTCTGTGCCTTGGGGAGCTGCTGCCACCCCCACCACAACCCTGGCCACAGGGTCCTGGAAGCTTCCCACCCTGCCCACCCCAACTCAGCACCTTCCTCCGTAGCCTCCATTACTGGGACGATGCAGATGCCACGCCCTCGTTACACGCCGTGAGCAGGGGGCTCAGGTCTCTCACCCACACAGCCCTGCGGGGGGGGCTGGGAAAGTCGGGGGACCCTCGCCAAGGCTGATTGAGGCTGTGAGCACTGGGCGTGTGGGGCTGGGTGCTGGCCACACATGGGCCTTAGCTGCAGTGAGATGAAAGGGGACGCAGCTCCTCACTTTTGCACATTTCAAGGGCTCAGCAGCCCCCTGTGGCCTGTGGGTCTTGGATGATGCAGATCTAGAACATTCTGGCAGCTAGGAGAGCACTGTTGGGTGGGAGGGGGCCTCCGGGGAGGAGGGTCACCCAAGAGAAGGGCCAGGAGCCTGGAGACCCCCAGGACTGGGGGGTGCACAGACAGCTCCTAGCCAGGCCCAAGGCACAGGGGATGGGGAGGGGGCAGCCCTGTTTCTTCCTCCCTCACGTCCCTCTCCCCTGCCTCTCCCCCAGCCCCAGCCCCTCCTGCCCTCACCGAGTCCAGGCGGACTCTGTGCCCCCACGAGCTGCACCAGGCATCAACCTGACCCGGGAGCTCAGGGGTGACCCCCATGTCTGTGCCGAGCCAAGTGGGGTCAGCACGTCCTGTCAGTTGTGGCAGCTTCTGCCAGGCTGTGCTTTAGGGTCGGGGTCTTTCAGGAAGAAGCCATGCAGCCCATCCAGCAACACTAACTCCCCAGGCTCAGGGGGTCCCAAGCACAGGTGTCCTGCGGGTCCCAGCACAGGCAGGACCCACCGTCTCTAAGCTTCCCTTTGACCAAGGTGGGGCCAGGCACCCTGGGAGGCCAGGGCTCAGGCCCAAGGCCCAGGCTAGGAGCTGGGTATGGTGACCGCATTTTTAAAACAGGAAAATTCAGGATGTGCTTTTGGGGTCACCACGAGTGCCCCTCCCCACCCGGCTCTTTGACTTGGGTCCCTTCTTAGGCCTCAGTTTCCCCATCTGAGGGGTGGGTGTGGGGCCATCTGTGGTCACAAAAGTTGCTGACCGTCAGGACCTCGGGAGAATTTGGGGGCAGCTGCCTCCACTTTGGGGTCTTGACTGGCCCAAGGGTCATCCCAGCCCTGGAGTAGGGTGGGGTGCACGGCGTCTCCCTCTGTAGCCCCACGCTCTGCCCAGGCCTCATCCCCGAGCACTGGGGCTTCCTGTGTGCATTACAAACAGTGCACCCCAGCCCCTGATGTGGGAGAGGAGGAGATGGGCACACCAGGGTCCCAGCAGCTGAAGTATTGGGGTGAAGAGGTGAAGACTGCACCGAGGTACCCTATTCTGGGAGAAAGCAGCAAGGCTGGGGGTGGGGCTGCCCCCTGTCCCGAGCCATGTCCCTCTTAGCTGTGCAGCCACAACAAGCCCCACCGAGGCAGACCTGGCCCCGGCCCAGCCGGTCTCAGGAACCCACACCACCAGCGTTGACTGCCCAGCCCTGACCTGGTGGGTCCTGACAGACCAGCGTGGTCCAGATGGGGGCCACTGTACAAACTGGGGATACATTTCTAGCTGCTCTAGATGGACTGGAGCTGAACTCTCGCATCCTGGGAGTCCGTTCCTACAAAGTGCCTGGAGAGGTGGAGGGCGATGGGCACTTTCCCGCAGGCACCTCCCCTGCCACTCCCCGGGACCCTCCACAGCCAGCCTACCGTGCCCACGGGCACCGCCACTGGTTTCTTAGGGTCATTCGGAGTCAGGACCCCCACGCTCCCCCTAGCCCTGGCTGGCCCAGGGGCTTGCTGTGTGCACGGCTACCCTGGCACCTGGGGTGAGGCTGTGCTCCCACTGGGTGAATCTCAGGTGTCCCTCTCAGCCAGACGCCTGGAACCCTAGCACTACCTCCCAGCGGCCACATGCACTCGCCAGGGGCTGCAGACAGCCTGGCTGCTGCGTGGGCCCCGTGGGAAACTCGGGGGCAGCTGGATCGGGGCTTTGAGGGCCAGTACTTGGGGTGTGGCCACCAAGGCCCCAGCTCAGCCTGATGGGGGTGGGGCCCACGTGCCTTTGCCGTCGTGTGACGCAGCCCTGTGTGTGGAAGCCGCAGTGCGCCAATGTGTACTGACTCGCTGGCCGAGGGAAGCTGCACCCTGTGGCCTCCTCACCAGCCACAGCTCCCAGCTGCACACTGCCGCCCAGGGCTCCGGGAGACAGTGCTGTGGGACGCATCTGTCTTTGTTGCAGAGCCTCTGCCTGTCTTTGGGGGTTCCTGGACAGAGGAGGCCCACCACCCTGTACCCCTGGCGCCGGGCGCCTGCCCCGAGCCGCGTGCGGAGGGCCTGGGTCATCCCACCGATCAGTGTATCCGAGAACCACAAGCGTCTCCCCTACCCCCTGGTTCAGGTGAGCGGGTGGAGGGGGCGGGAGGGGAGGAAGGGGTGGGCTGGTCCCCAGTGGGCCTCCCTCATTCCCTAAAGGTCTCCTGGGAGCCAGCGGGGCCCCATTTCAGGGCAGAGCTGGGGCAGGACTCACCCACCTTGCCAGGGCTCTGGGCTTCCAACCTGGGTCTACAGCAGGGCTCAAACCCTCCCCTTTGCCCCAGGCCTCAGGGGAGTCCAGAGCTGCTCCCACCCCACGTGCACCTCTGGTGGACACATTCCACGTTAGGCTGCACGCTCGGGCGTGATTTTTGTCTGCGTGTTCGCCGACGCTGAGCAGATGGAGGTGAAGGTGAACTGCCTTGCGGGGTGTCAGCTTCACACACCCAAAATCGCCCTAGAGACCAGGGCCCTGAGGACACCAGGGGCTGAGCCTGAAATGAGGCTGCAGGACGGGGCACCCTTGGGGCCACAAGCTGAGCTGTCCCCAGCCCAGCACAGCTCCTCACTGGGTACCAGGCTCCGTCCTCCAGTCCTAGGAGGGTTCGACCTGCCCTGCTGTCAGCCAGGGAGGGGCCTGAGGGGCTGCAGAGAGGGCAGAGGCCCCCGCCCGCAGCAGCTCTCCCCAGCCCCATTTCCTGCCCCACAGATCAAGTCAGACAAGCAGCAGCTGGGCAGCGTCATCTACAGCATCCAGGGACCCGGCGTGGACGAGGAGCCCCGGGGCGTCTTCTCTATAGACAAGTTCACGGGGAAGGTGTTCCTCAATGCCACACTGGACCGTGAGAAGACCGACCGCTTCAGGGTACGGATCTGCGCCGTCCGGCCTGTGCCCGTCAAGCAGGCCTGGTGGGAATCCAGTACTCCTCCTCCCCATCAGGCTTCTCCTCCAGCTCGGTTGGCTTCAGGCCAGACTGCTGGTCCTGCAAGATCCAGGCACCCTTAAGTGAGGGGCCAGGTACGGGGGTCTGGGACCAAGGCCCTGCAGCCTGAGGAGGCAGCTGTTTAGGGTGATGTTCCCGTTTAACTGGAGGGCAGACAGAGGTCCCGTGGAGGAGCGGCGTGGTTCTGCCCGGGAGGAGCGCGCTGCAGCCGCTGTAGCTTTGTGGCTCCACCACAGCCAGCTCCGCACTGGTCCTGGGAGCTCAGGAACATCGTGAAGAATCTCTAAATAGTGTTTTTTGGGGTTTTTTTGTGAGTTGGAGCTTCACTCTGTCGCCCAGGCTGGAGTGCAGTGGCACAATCTCGACAGACTGCAATCTCTACCTCCCAGGTTTAAGCGATTGTCCTGCCTCAGCCTCCTGAGTATCTGGGATTACAGGCGCCCACCACTATGCCTAGTTAATTTTTGTATTTTTAGTAGAGACGGGGTTTCACCATGTTGGCCTCCCAAAGTGCTGGGATTACAGGCATGAGCTACCACGCCCGGCCTCCCAAAGTGCTGGGGTTACAGCCCTGAGTCACCGTGCCCGGCCTCCCAGAGTGCTGGGGTTACAGCCCTGAGTCACCGTGCCCGGCCTCCCAGAGTGCTGGGATCACAGGCGGGAGCCACCACGCCTGGCCCCAAAATAATGTTGATCCCAGTGGCCGCCACTGTTCTCGGGAGTGGGATTAGTCAGGGAAGAAACCACTGATGCCCCTGGGATTCTGAGGTCTGAGAGAAGGGGCAGTGAGTGCTGGGCGCGGTGGTTCATACCTGGAATCCCAGCACTTCGGGAGGCTGAGGCAGGAGGATTGCTTGAAGCCAATAGTTCGAGACCAGGCTAGGCATCAAAGTGAGGCCTTATCTCTACAAAAATTTAAAAACACGGTAAAATTACCAGCAGTGTTGCTGCATGCCTGTGGTCCCAGCTACTTGGAAGGCTGAGGTGCCAGGATCCCCCCGGAGATCGATGCTGCCTAAGTTGTGATTGCGCCGCTGTGCTCAGCCTAGGTGACAGAGGAAGACCCTCTCTCAAAAAACAAAAAAAGAAGAAGAAGAAGAAGAAGAGGCCGGGCGCGGTGGTCACGCCTGTAATCCCAGCACTTTGGGAGGCTGAGGCGGGGTGGATCATGAGGTTCAGGAGATCAAGACCCTCCTGGCTAACACGGTGAAACCCCATCTGTACTAAAAACAAAAAAATTAGCCAGGTGGGGGTGGCGCGCTCCTGTAGTCCAGCTACTCGGGAGGCTGAGGCAGGAGAATGGCGTGAGCCCGGTTGGCAGAGTTTGCAGTGAGCCGCAGATCGCGCCACTGCACTCCAGCCTGGGTGATCAGAGCGAGACTCGTTTCAAAAAAAAAAGAAAGAAAAGAAAAAAGGCCGGGCGCGGTGGCTCACGCCCATAATCCCAGCACGTTTGGGAGGCTGAGGCACGGCAGATCTCAAGGTCAATAGATCAAGACCATCTTGGCTAACATGGTGAAACCCTGTCTCTACTAAAAAGTACAAAAGTTAGCTGGGCATTCTGCAATGGAACTGTAGTCCCAGCTACTCAGGAGGCTGAGACAGGAGGAGCTCACTTGAACCCGGGAAGGCAGAGGTTTGAAGTTAGCTGAGATCTGGCCATGCACTCCATGCCTGGTGACAGAGAGAGACTCTGTTCTCAAAAAAAACAGGAAGAAGAAGAAGAAGACAGTCAGGGGAGCAATGAGGATGGGAGCCCTGAGCCCCAGAACCCCATCTATACTCCCTGCAGGCACCTGCCCATGGCCCCAGCTGGCCCTCCCCTTGCCCTCCCACCCCCCGGCCTGCCCAGCCCAGCCCTGCCTTCCCCTGGCCTCCACCACCCGGGCCTGCCACCCCGCCCCTCACCCCGGCCTGCCCACCCGGCCTGCCCACCCCGGCCTCCCCACCCCCGGCTGCCGCACCGGCCCCCCCGGCCTGCCCAGTGCCACGCCTGCCAGTCCCGCCTGCCACCCCCGGCCTGCTCGGCCTCCCACCCGCGGCCTGCCCAACGCGCCTTCCGCGCCTGCCTCTCCCCGCCTCCACCCACCCCCGGCCTTGCCCAACCCGCCTGCCCTCCCTGGCCTTCCCACCCCGGCTGCCACCACCCCGGCCGCCACCCCGCCTGCCCACCCTGCCTCCCACCCCCGGCCTGCCTCCCGGCCCTGGCCAGCCGCCGGCCTGCCCCACCCCAGCCTGCCTCCCCCGGCCTGTCCACCGCGGCCTGGCCCACCCCGCCTGCCCTTGCCCCGGCCTGCCTCCCGGCTGCCCACCCCGCGCCGCCATCTCGCCAACATGCCCCCCCCGGCCTACCCACCCGCGGCCTGCCATTCTCAACTGCCCACCCCGGGCTGCCACCCCGCCTGCCCACCCGGGCCTGCCATCTCCCAACCTGCCCACCCCCGGGCCTGCCCCACCCGGGCCTGCCCTCCCGGCCTGCCCACACCGGCCCTGCCATCCCCGCCTGCCACCGCGGCTGCCATCTCACAACCTGCCTCACCCCCGGCCTGCCCTCTCCCGGCCTGCCCACCGCGCCTGCCATCCCGGCCTGCCCACCCGCGGCCTGCCATCTCCCAAACCTGCCCACCCCCGCCCTGCCCACCCCCGGCCTGCCTCCCCGGCACCTGCCCACCCCTGGCCTGCCCTCCTCCAACCTGCCCTCCCCCGCCTGCCCTTCCCGGTCAGCCCTGCCCACCCGCGCCCTGCCAATCTCCCAGCCTGCCCCACCCCGCCTGCCTCCCCGGCCTGGCCACCCCCTGCCCTCCCCGGCCTGCCACCCCGGCCTGCCCTCCCCCGGTCTGCCACCCCGGCCTGCCCTCCCGGTCGGCCCTCTCCAAAATGTCATTTTTGGGCTGGGCGCAGTGTCTCATGCTTGTAATCCTGGCACTTTGGGAGGCTGAGGCGGGGGGATCACCTGAGGTCAGGAGTTCAAGACCAGCCTGGCCACATGGCAAACTCTGTCTTTACTAAAAATATAAAAAATTAGTCAGGTGTGGCACGCACCTATAATCTCAACTACTTGGGAGGCTGAGGCAGGAGAATCACTTGAACTCAGGAAGTGGAGGTTGCAGTTGAGCCGAGATCACACCACTGCACTCCAGCCTGGGCAACAGAGCGAGACGCCATCTCAAAAAAGAAAAAAAAAAGTTCCAGGCATGGTGGTGGCTCACGCCTGTAATCCCAGCACTCTGGGAGGCTGAGGCAGGCAGATCACGAGGTCAGGAGATCGAGACCATCCTGGCTAACACGGTGAACCCCGTCTCTACTAAAAATACAAAAATTAACCGGGGTGGTGGCGGCGCCTGTATCAGTCCCAGCTACTCAGGAGGCTGAGGCAGGAGAATGACATGAACCCGGGGTGAGAGCTTGCAGTGAGCCAAGATCGCACCACTGCACTCCAGCCTGGGTGACAGAGCGAGACTTGTCTAAAAAAAAAAAAAAAGAAATAATTTCGTACCTGATGTGGGGAAGGATGCTTCCTGCCTTGCCTTTGCAGGAAGCAAAATTTCCTTTTATTTGCCCCGAATCTTCCTTTAGACCTTCGAGAACCAGTCCTTTGATCCCTTACATCAAATGTTATTAGAGAGTATTTTTCACTTGG